CGAGTTGTGCTCCTCGCCAATCTATCCCATGTTACTGCCGTCGCCTTACGTTCGTTCGGTTCGCCGCCAGCAATCGTCGCCAGAAAGAGTAGTGTACAGACCGCTTTGGATAAGCTTTAGCCACCAGCGGACTCGATAATTCAAGAGGACGTCGCACACCGATATGTGGAAAATGTCAAATCTGAATGTCATCCACAAACTGAAATAGCTTGTTTATGTAGGCTGTACGAAAAAGCGGAAACTGTCATCTTTGTTGGGACTAGAGAATCGGGTGCGGCGAGGAGGTGAAAAATCATGGATCGGACGTGCACCATGAAAGTGTTTATCATACTTTTGTGATTTATCCCTGCGCAAATCCTGGATAATACTTGTGTTATTCTCGTACCCATGTTTGGTGGTTTCGTACAATTTTCGTCCATTTCAGTAATCTCCTTTTGCAAGGACCACAGAAGGATGGTCAATATGGGCCGAACTGGTGAGGTAGCACCCCTCGATAATGGACTCTACTCGGTTCGAAACTGACGAATTCCGCATGGGTGTTGTTGTTGTAACTAATAAACAATTGTTGACACCGAATGAATGAGAATTTTGAGCGTGCAAAAGGGAGCCAAAATGAGGCAGTGGATAAATCGTTGGTTTTTCAATCACCGCGCACGGCCCATCTCTTCGGCATGTTTCACGCGTTTGCTCACGGTTTCACCCAAAAGAATTGGTTGAATCTTTGCGAACATAGTAGTACCTAGTCTAAAGGTACGAAACAACGAAAAGAGGGCACTAAATTTAACGTCGTCCACTACTTCAAAGGGTTTGGCTCGTGTTTATGTCTCACAACCATTTTACAACGTTCTTGGAACAGAAAGAGACAGAAACCTGAAGTGGATGGCTGCGGTAAGGAGGAAAAACTGACTAGTGTGACAAGAGCACCCCATTTCGCATGACAAGACAGAATGGGAAACCTGTCAAGAAATACATCCTAACTTCACTTCGGGTCGGATGTCAACTCCTATTTTATTTGAATATCCTGAATTGAGTGGTGACACGACGGTGCACAAGGGGGCGCAACATTTTGGACGCTTCAGCTTGTGTATGTCTTGAACTCATAGACTTTTTATACCTGAAAATGTGTTTAGCCTAAATTGCGCAAATCTGGGACACCTGAAGCGGCAGACAAGAAGCACACAAATTGGAACCAGTTTGTGTAGGATGTCCAAAATAGAGTAAAACTTGTGTTGTAGCGCAACTCAGACACTTGGTTCTGTCTTGCATGAACAAAATAGAAGATTGGGTAGCTGGAGAGCGACCGGGAAATAAAAAAATTATAGGGAAAACCCTAAGCAGTTCAATTATTGGAGGAAACGTATCAGTAATACCTCTTTCCTAACATGGTATCTACAAATCTAGTACTTTTTTTTCGTTTGCCAGACTATCCGTACATAGAGCTGGGGGAATAGCCCCAGCGACATTCAAGGTCGTCACTGTATTTACCACTGTCACAGAACAGGCCACATGTCACATATAATGCATCACCTCAACTGAAAACAACCACACGCAACTAGTTCAAGTTTGAAAATTCTTCCTTAACCGCCAGTACAGGTTTGTTTGTGACACGAAGAATACGTAGAATGACATCTCCATGCTTTTTTTCAATTTTCGAGGCACGGAAATGTAGCTTCCGACGTATGGGCAAGCTGTCGTTAGGATACACATTGGGACTTGTCCCATAAAGTCCAACTATGAGGAAGACGAGAATCATTCACTACAACTGGGTGGCCACCGTCATCATTACTTAAGGAGCATAAGATAAATAACAGTACGAACAGAAGGAAACAAGAGCTTGGGCTGGGTTCTAGGGGAGTTTCACGTCAGAACCAAATTGTTATGCAAATGAGCGTACTCCGCTAGTAGGACTTACTCTTACTGAAATATATGGTTAATTACTTTGGAGTAATGATAAACAAACTACAAGTTCGTTCATGGTTCAGATCTGAGATGTGACAAATTGCTTCAACTTGCATAAGACATTCATTAAAAAAAGCTTTGAAAAATTACAATTTGGGGTAATAGAACAACACACGTAAGCTGCGAGACTTTTTGTCCCCTGTCAAGAACTCGATTCCAAAAACATTAACGGGAACCATATCAAACAGTGGGTAAGTTGGGCTAAAAATTGCGCCAGACAGAACTTACTGATAGTCTGGTTGCAAAGTGCACTGGAAATCCACAGTCACATAGCCGGAATTTCACAAAAGCAGGCATAAAACTACTCAACCTGAGGACTTAATAAATGCTAAGACATGTTTGTGAATGGTTCCGACAAGATTTCTATGCACAGTCACCAGTTCGTGCGCAGCTTAACGTAAACTGTTGCATGGGTTTGGAACCTGATAACTGAGTGCGCGTTTGTCAGGTGGATGGGCACTAGACGAGTTATTGAAAAAAAACGCCGCATTCATCTAAACCATGGGGAGATTGACAATTATCGGGCTGTTTTTTGCAACTTTCAGACCACTCAGTGCAGTGGAACACAGTGAATTTAGAATGAAAGAGGAGAGCACTGTCATAAGGAGTTTCCAGAACCTCAAAAATAAAGGCGCGGGGTAGAATCAATAAGCTTTAAGAGCAGCCTTAGATATTAATCCCTGTAAGAAAGTGAAACTTATGTCAAGCAACCCTCATTATATGAAGAGTAAAACCAATGCGTTCTGGATTAGAAGATTTTTCTCTCTTTTTGTGCTTTCTATCTCCCAGTAGAGTGACAGCTTTAAACATGTGCCACGTATTAATACGTTGTGGCTATTGTAATAAAATACAGACGTGAACAAATAGCCTAATAAGTGATCTCACCCGTACGTGGTTAATTCCTCCTAGGATCTTTCAACAGATATCGTTTTATTAGCGCATCGGACAGCTTAACATTCAGGGCGGTTAACAAACCGAGACCAAAAGCTTCCCTTCTTATCAAAGACCTCCCGGTGGCAACAATCTTTACATTTGCTCGTGAACTTGTAGCCTCAAGCCTACTGTTATGGTGGCAATCCACCACTAGCTGGATTACTGACTGGGAGAAACAGAAAACCTGACAGGTACTCCCTTGCGAAGTATATCTACACTGCATCCTAATAGCTAGTCAGCAGCAAGGTTCAGCGCTGAACTGAAAGAAGGTTAGGAAAGAAAATGAAATTGAACATGAACGTGTTTGGATTTTTTGAAGTTTTCTTCAAATAAGATTGCGTGAAATAATTGAATGGGTAATGCAGAGTCTATACTGTTGCATTGAAAAGGTTTGTTCCAATAGGTGCTTTTTGTATTTTGATGGTGGTTTGAATAATACTTATTGGCAGACTTCATTTTATCCGCTGTTGATTCTTGTACCATGAAAAAATAAAACTTATGCTGTGAGGTTGGGCTATCATCTTCAAAGGTGGATTGTTGAAGAACTTGACAAACCAATCACTAGCTGAGCTTAACTAATAAGAACTTTTAATTCCGTTGACCTACTAGACGCCTCATTCTATCATAGCCTGGGGAAAACCGGGTTTGAACTACCAAAGTTCTCATATATAACCAGGTAAATTCAAAGACTGTATAGCCACGAGCAAAGCGTACCTTCTCCCAAAACTATAGTTTTCTCCTTTACATTAGATATCAGACCACAGCGCCTGCGTACTTTCTGTTCGTTCAAATTTATTGCATGAAATTACTTCTCCTCCATTAACTGTGTTTTTGCAGCTAGTGCCATTGCTTGCTTTCTGAACTTGCGGAATAGGTGTAAATAGGATAAAGTGCTACCGCCAAAGACGCCCTCCCAGCAAAAGACAGCCTTCAGCAAAAGAGCGTTGAGACCTCATCCCAAAGCTATTTGCATTTTGAGGAGTCGGTTGCTCTCCAAAAAGCGGGGTTCGATCAGAGAAACCCG